TATTATTGATACAGTTCTCAGGTTGAGTCTCACGTAGCTGGAGGAATACTGAACGGGGTTGTGAACAGCCTAGGTGATCTGTGAGAGAGGCAATGATTTAGAACTATTCCTACCGAATTTTATGGAAGGTTAGGCAAGGTCTCTGACAGTTCTGAGGAGTGAAGGTGCTTCCAAAGACTGTCTCCTAGGGTTAAGCCCCTCACAGGACTTGATATCAGTGGCTTCTATGCCCAAGGCTCAATCAGGAGAGAGATGGTGTGCACCACTTGCATTTTACTGTTCTTAATTATGGAGTACTTCTATAAAGTTGTATGAATTATCTTCTGAAACTGTTTTGGAAATCGGTATTATTCCATGTGCTTCATGCTGATAGGAATGAAGTAACTGAAATATAGTTTCTAAAGTGTTGAGGACTTACCACCCATTTTGCCACTTGCTGATTTTCTAGTTGCTTCATTAATGAGTAAAGCCTCAAGTCGGCTATAGCAGACAGAAGTGCTTGGGCAAGTCTAGGAATCCAAATCTTCATTTAGTAAAAAAAAAAAAAAAAATGTTAAAAACATCCGTTGCTTGAAACTGAATTATAAGAAATCAACAAGCTGATCCAACTATCTATTGAAAGCCATTCTTAGTACAAAAGTAGATATAATGTATTATTCTATTCTTCTGCAAAATACCTGTATTTCTACAAAAATTAATTTTTCATGGAACTATCCAAAGTAGTTTTACCATAATCATATTATCATATATATGTATATATTTATAATACTAATTTTAATAGCCAGCAAACCATTTCATTGTGTAAAGGTTCTATTTTAGAGGCACATTTAGTTATTTTCATTAGCATAACAGTAGATAATTTAAAATAAAACCTTACAGTATTGTGTGCTAGATATCATACAAAGCACATACTTTATATATATCAGCACATTCAGTCTTCCACACAATCCTATGAAATAGATAACTGTTTTATAAATGAGGAAAGTGAGGTACAGAGAAGTTAAGTAATTTTCCCAAGGCTACAGAGCTAGTTAGTGTGGAAGACAGGATTCAAATCTGGGTCTACCTGACTCTAGAGCCTGTGATTACATTGCTAAACTACTAAATTACATTGCTTCCCTACCCTGCAATATAAATAATAAAATGAGTTACTTTTTTTTTAAGCACAAGTATTCTACAATTATCAAAACGGTATTCAGGTGACAGTAAAAAGTATATTTAAGAGTAAAAAGAAATTAAAGTAAATATATAAATAACTTAGTAATTCTAATGCTATACATTAGCATCTTTGAGAATTTTTAAAAAATGAGTCATAGTAACAAAATAACACTTGCTGGTAGAGCACAATTTAATGTTGGTTTGCTCAAAAGATGTGTTTCCAAAAACATGTACATTTGTATTGTAGGATCAAACTATGTACATTATAATTAGAGCTGCTTGACTTTCAGTTGTGTCTTCTAACACTTTAGCTTTTTGTTCCTTTTCTTTGTCAGTAATCTATAAATACATGTTTAAATCCCAGGACTTCAGTGTCTCAGGCTTAAAAAAAACCCCTTTGGATTTGGACTGCCTTTCGAATTGTGGGCACTTCCCTAACAGAAAACAAGGAAGGCCCAAAGTTCTGAGTCCAACTTGATGATAGCTGAAAGGATCTTGACAGTGAGGTTAGAGAAACTTTTTCACTGTTAGTTCTTCCTTTGTATCCTCTCCCAGAAAATGACCCCAGAAATTCATGATCCAGGAATTACAACCTACTTACTACTGATGCCTAATTACAACATAGCAAAATGATTGTGCATATCATTACATTTTTGTCAAATTAATTTTTCTAAGTTTTAATTTCAACACTAAATCCTGAGTGGTTTTATATGTATTTAGTCTTCATAAGCTCATATAACATGGTCTTCTCCTCACAAGTTAAGAAAAACAAGATACAACACTGCTCTCAAGTGATTCTTAATGAAGGATGTATATTCCTAAAGTCCACATAATTAGTATATAATGTAGTCATTCTGAAAATCTTTAATAGGATTGCTCCCAGCAGGACACTTTCATGCTCAGTCTTGTGTTTTAGCACATATTGAAGTTACACATCACAGTTATGTCTTTGGAACCTTTGACTTCTCAGATGTGTTCAGAGTTTAGCCTTTTAAAAACAAATTTCACAATACCAATAATATCATTTAGTTATATACATTAAGCTTTAAAAAAGGATGGAATTAATCTACTTTTAAAAACTTCTTTGATTTTATTTAAACTTACCAGCAACTGAACACTATCTTTCCCCAAAAGATGCAGAATCTTGTAAATGCTTGCAAAGATTAAGGGGTAAGTATAACCCCTCAATCTTTCTGTCCATTCCCAGGTCAAATAACCATAATTACTAATATTAAGAACTAATGTTAAATAGCATTGAAACAAAACCTACTTTCATTTCCATAAATAAAACTATTTTATTTTTTGACAAAGCAGCTTAAAAAAAGCATTTTATACTGGATATTTACATTAAAAATGCAATTGGCCAATTAAACTCTTAACTTCTTCAAGGTAGGAATGTGTTTATTGCATCATCTATATGCTCCACATCCTGAGCATTGTGGGAATATGTGCTACAGGTTAAGTCAAGCGCATTAACATCAAAGAAAGATAGAGAAGAAATATTAGCAAAAAATAATGGCAGACTTTGATAAGTTAAAATTAGGAGAAAATATGGAAGATCGATTGAAAATGTGTAATAGAAACTGACACGATTCCTAAGATGAATACACATTCCTAGTCTGGAAAATAAATTACAAAGGATATTTGAAAACCATATGATGTGCAACTTCAAGAGACTGCCAGTACTCATCTGGAACAAAACTGGTCTGGACTAAAAAGCAATTACATATTCGTAATGCTATGGTAAATAAGACCAGATAAATGTTTTCACCAAGAAGACCTGAAAAACAAAACAAAACAGGTAATTGTGGCACCAAAGTCATACAAGTTCTGCTTGGAGAACTAAAGTCCGCTTCTCTGGTTGGCCCCTTGCTCAGGCTCTGTTAAGGCACAGTAGTGAGCTCTGGCCCCTCCACAGTACTCTCAAAGCAGACCTGGGCTGAGAGAACCTCACCACTGGGAGACTACATTTTTCATTGAAGCAGTCTTTCTTGCAACTTGTTGTATAAAGAGAATCTTAAGATACATGTTGAAAAAGATTGGGTTAACAAAAGCCTTAGGTGGAATTAGGTTATCCTACATGTGTATCTAATGAAAGAATCCAACTAACAAATTACTAACTTAGGAAGCAACTGTTTAAGTGCTAAACTGGCATATAAAATGATCCTCTGTACATTTTAAAATAACATTCATTGTTGCTAAATGCTCATGCCACTTTACATGAGGAAAAGTTCAGAAGTTAAATTGCCTTGTCCAAAGTCAAAAAGGTTGTAAATGACTGAACAGAATTCAAAATCATGTCTGCCTGTTGACTCCAAAGCCATGCTCAACACAGATGGGCAGTCTGTAGGCTGAATACAGAGGTGTTTGTTTTTTTAATTTGAATTTAGTTGCCAATATTTTAAAAATCAGAATTTACATTAAAATCTGTACTGCAGCATTTCAAAACTAAAATCTAGCAACACAGAGCTCAATTGGCAACATCTGACTGGTACTGAAATATAGGATGCTTTGACTTACTTAAGCCTTGCCTGTCTGGCTTCCTGAGTATTTGAGTTTGCAACCTGCCTCTGATCCACTCATCATCCTGGGTTCCTGCCGCTTTCCTTATGAAACATATTTTAAATGTCTCTCAGATATTGGTACGTTCAACACAACATACATTCCCCGTCTGAACTTTCATCTTCCAGAAACACTTAAAAGAAACTTCCCAACTGGACTAGACATGCCGTCAGAAAACATTGTCCCTTTACTCTGTGGACTCAGGCATTAGACACACTGCTCAGAATTGGCCTTTGAATAACTGATCTTGAATACCTAAAAGTTCAACTGTAAGCCTGTTGAAAGTATGGTAATTGACTGCCTTTACTATCCTTGACCCTGCCGGGATCCAACCTCTACGGGTTAGGTGAAGAAAGCGAGCGAGCTCCAGGCCAGCTGCCATTCCTCCCCCTATCCCCCCAGTCCTCGGTCACAATCTTTGCATCCTCACTTGTCATTTAGCAAAAAGGTTTTCCCCTTTCTTGGTCTCAGGTTTCCAGAGGGGTAACTAGGCATTTTCATACCGCCTACACCGTCCTTGGCCCATAAAAGGCTTACAGTCAGTATTTACTGAATGAATGAGTCCATCTTTATATTAAATAACCATCACCACCTCGCCTACCTCCGCGACAAGTTCAAGTCCCACTTGCTGTTGTGATTCTTCCCCTGCCAGCATCACATCGGGACCAAAGTGAAGGCAGAGGGGGCAAAAGAAACAGGGCGGAGTAAGACCTGGTCCCGATTTAGAAATCAGCCTCTCCCTAGGTGCTAAATCTGGGGTAACTCCTGGCCTGGGTGCTCCCGCTCTAACACGGAAATGGCCACCTCCTGCCTACTCACTGGGCACGGCTGAGGAGAGGGCCGCAAAAAATAATGCAGAATACGGTGCTTTGCAAGCGGCAGCGATCGATTGAGAATCCTATCTGGAGCGCGCCGCGATTTCTCGGCCACCCCACTCAGCTGATGGAGCCCGCGCTGCGTCCGCGACTCCCCGCCACCTCCCCTCCCCTGGGTATCCCTACCCCCTCTCTCACCTCCGCGACGCTCGCTGCTTTTCTCCGGACTGAGGTACAAGGCCGACTTTCTCTTGCGCAGTTTCATCTCCTCGTGGGAGCGGTTCTGGAGACCGCGGAAAAAGAGGCTGCCGCCTGGCTCTCGCTCCATACTGCATCTGCTGCGACTTCCGCGGAGGATGCCGGGCCGCCGCCTCCCTCCGCAGATCCACGCTGCAACGGCGCGCGCTGCGCTTGGGCGCGCTAAGTTTGGCCTCTGCGAGCCGCCGTCAGGGGCAGGCGCGGAGGGAGCCGGGAAAGGGAGACTTGCGCCAACTCCCTAAGGTCGTGGTCTCTCCGTGGAGTGCTTCAGGTTTGGACCGCGTCTCTACACTTTGCGACCCGCTTGCCCGCACTTTCCCTTCACTTGGGATTGCTACCGCCTTTGGTTTTGGGGGTGTGCGCGCGGGGTTCCGGAAACTGCTGGAAGGAACTGGAGTTCACCTTTTCGGGGACCGGTGGAGGCGGGGTCAGTGCCTTGGAGTGAGAGCTGAACTGTTGGCGGTGTCTGAGTGGTAATGATAATAGTACAGGCATACCTCATTTCGTTGCGCTTCGCTTTATTGCGCTTCACAGATATTGCGGGTTTTTTTACAAGTTGAAGGTTTCTTGCGACCCTGCGTGGAGCATTTTTGTCGGCGCCATTTTTTCCAACAGCATTTGCTCATTTTGTGTCTCTGTGTGACGTTTTTGTAACCCTCGTAGTGAACTTTTTCGTTATTGTTTTATTTGTCATGGTGATCTGTGGTCAGTGATCTTCAGTGTTACTGTTATAATTGTTTTGGAGTGCCACACACTGAGGCCATATAACACAGCGAACTTAATAAATGTGTGTGTTCTGACTGCTCCACTGACTGGCCCTTCCTCGTCTTGTCTCTCTCCCTCTCTTTGGGCCTCCCTAGTCCCCGACACACAACAATATTGAAATTGGGCCATTTAATAACCCTACAATGGCATCTAAGTGTTCAAATGAAAGGAAGAGTCGCACGTCTCTCACATTAAATCAAAAGCTAGAAATGATTAAGCTTAGTGAGGAAGGCTTATCCAAAGCTGCGATAGGCCGAAAACTAGGCCTCTTGCGCCAAACAGTTAGCCAAGTTGTGAATGCAAAGGAAAAGTTCTTAAAGGAAATTGAAAGTGCTACCCCACTGAATACACGTATGATAAGAAAGCGAAACAGCCTTATTGCTGATATGGAGAAAGTTTTAGTGGTCTGGATAGAAGATCAGACCAGCCACAACATTCCCTTAAGCCAAAGCCTAATCCAGAGCAAGGCCCTGACTCTCTTCAATTCTATGAAGGCTGAGAGAGGGGAGGAAGCTGCAGAAGAAAAGTTTGAAGCTAGCAGAGGTTGGTTCATGAGGTTTAAGGAAAGAAGCCGGCTCCGTAACATAAAAGCTCAAAGTGAAGCAGCAAGTGTTTTAATGGATGAGGAGTTGCTTCTTATGGATGAACAAAGAAAGTGGTTTCTTGAGATGGAACCTACTCCTGGTAAAGATGCTGTGAAAATTGTTGAAATGACAACAAAGGATTTAGAATATTACATAAACTTAGTTGATAAAGCAGCAGCAGGGTTTGAGAGGATTGACTCAAACTTTGAAAGAAGTTCTACTGTGGGTAAAATGCTATCAAACAGCATTGCGTGCTACAGAGAAATCGTTCATGAAAGGAAGAGTCAATCTGTGCGGCAAACCTCATTGTTGTCTCATTTTAAGAAATTGCTACAGCCACCCCAACCTTCAGCAACCACCACCCTGATCAGTCAGCAGCCATCAACATCGAAGCAAGACCTTCCACCAGCAAAAAAATTACGACTCACTGAAGGCTCAGATGATGGTTAGCATTTTTTAGCAATAAAGTGTTTTTTAAGGTATGTACTTTTTTTTTTTTAGAAATAATACTATTGCACACTTAATAAACTACAGTATACTATAAACATAACTTTTTCATGCACTAGGAAACAAAAAAATTCGTGTGAGTTGCTTTATTGCAATCTTCTCATTATTGTGGTGGTCTGGAACTGAACCTGCAATATCTCCGAGGTATGCCTGTAATGATAGCTATAAACATGTTTGTGTAACATTTCACTGTTTAGGCGATGTCACAATAACTACTTGGTGAAGGAGGTAGACAGGGTAGGGATGATTTAGCCTGTTGTACAGATGTGTAAAATGAGGTTCAAAACAGATTAAATGACTTGGCCCGGGTCACTTAGCCAGCTAGTGGCAAAAGGATAACCTTCCCATTTTGGTGTCGTTTATCAGTTTTCCAAGCAGCTGACTTGCAAATAGCTCTTTTTTTTTCTTTTTTTTCTTTTTACACTGAGAAGACTTGATCCAAAACATGCTGGACAAAATTGTCATTTATCTAGTTAACTGTAGATTCCAGGAGAAAACAGGGTTTTCTTTCCCAAATTAGTTTAAATTACATTTTAGCGATATTAAGGGCAAGCTAGTTTTTAGTATTAGTTCTGCCACTAATGATTTTTGTGACCTTCAGGGTTGGTCCAGGAGGCCATGAAATATTGGTATAATAAGGTATAATGATGAAAACATGTAAATCCTTTGCTCTGCTTTCCTCATTCATAAATATCTACCTAGTTTCTCCAGATACTAAGATGTTGACAAGGAGTATAGCTTTCCAAAAAGTACTAGTCTTAATTCCTCTATTGTTAGAACTAAGACCAGCCAAATCTGTTATACTTTTGTCAAAAATAGATGGCAAATGATTTACATATGAAGCCTACTTGTACCTACTAAAGCATCAAAGGGAACTCATAAAATCTTATAGCCTCCTTTTACAAAAATTATTGTGTTTGATCATACATATTGCCAAAATATATAAATACTAAAGAAGGGCCAATAATGAAAAGTAACATTTCTCTTTCTCCTACTTCCAAATCGGATTGGCAATCACTTTCAATTTTGGGGGGGACTTTATTTTAGTAGTTAACCTTTAAAGGCATAAAGAGTATGCCTCCCCTCTCCCCTACTTTTGCCATTTTGAAAATTATCCATTTAAAACTATTGAGAACATTCTGTAATAGAATTTAGCTTTGTCCTACACCATCCCCTAACCCTCATTTCTCACACTGCTTAAATATAGCAGGGGTGCCAAAAAAATGTATACAAGTGGACACTTTGGTCAATGTTGCTCAAGCAGTAGTTCACCATAATCAGAAGTGCCTGAACACTGATGGTAACCACTTTGAGTACCTATTGTAATTGCAGAAGTCAAATGTGACTTGTATTCATCTTTTGTTATCGGTATATATTATTACAATTTTAACAGTTTTTTCCTTTTTTAAAATATGTATACATTTTTTTGGCACCCTCTGTATATATACCTATTTTAGATAAATAAATAATATTTACTTATAACAAAAGCATGGTTTACTCTGGAGTGAAGTAGTGACAGGAAATCTTTAAAAAGGATCGTGTACTAACTTATTGCTTTGCTTTCTGTTTTCTTTGTACACAGACCTGAAGAGATTTCCTGAGCAGAGTGTAATTTTTCAAAACCACCTTTCCACCGTGCGGCGTTTGTTGAAAATATGTCTAGGAGATTGACCCTTCCACAACTTCTTTTTGCTAGCATCCTTGGAATTGCTGGAGGAATATATATTTATCAACCAATATTTGAACAGTATTCCAGGGATCAGAAGGAATTAAAAGAAAAGTTGAAATTGGCGCAGGAATCAGAAGAGAAGAAAAGTTAAGACTACATGGAGTTGAACTGTAATTGCTTAAAGTTCCATTGATATTATACATTGACTATAAATAGTCTACTAAAACTTCTCAAATATATTTTAAACATAAATAAATCATAAATGATGATTTTTAAAACTAGTACTGTCAATTTTAATGTTTACTGTACTTTTATTTGTCATTTTATGTCTTTTCACCAGGACATATTAATTCCTTTTAAGCCAAAACGAATATCTTAAGGAATATTTTGTTTCCTAGTCGAGGTTTATTTTTTCTGGGAATGCAGCATATACAATATCATGGGGTGACAATCTAGACCGTATTTATAAAATATTTGGGGATGGTGTTTACAGTAGTGTTTGTAGGTGAAGAGAACCAAGTTAACCACCTCAGGCAGAATGTCCTTCAGTTAGTCTACAGTTAGTCTGATTTAATATACTTCAGCAGTCTTTCAACCCCAGCCCTGTGTCATCCCAGGCAAAATGGAGGAGGAAGTTGAGAATTGTGGAGGCTCGGATCAAATAAGATTTTAGAGAAGGTATAAGAGTTATATAGGGTGACAAATGTGACACAGATCTGTTTAACTCACTAAGCAAGTTTGCATTAATGATGATTAGAGAGGAGTTAATTTGTTATGAAGCTATTCTTCACATAATTAAAGGGTTTTTTGAAATTGCTAAGAACTGATACTGCTTTTTAACCTAACAATCTTAAACTTGTATTTTCAATGAGAACTACAAACGTAATAGCATATGTACAAAGTGCTTTTTAAAAAATACTCACTTTTATTGATTTCTTTTTCTTGAAAAATTAATAAATTATATAAAAATAATTACATATATAAATTTATTATAACAATCTAAGCTATCTATGTTAAATGGACAGCATGGGTAATTAAAAAAAGAAAATTATGAAAGTAGTACATATTCCTTAAAAAATTCAAACAATACAGAAATAAACAAAGTGAAAATTGAATCAATACATTTAACAGTTTAGTGAGCTTTTCAGGCTGTTTTTCTTCGATGCACTTAAAAATATATATAAAAATTTTAATGTACCGAGTGTCAACTATGTGATAGGCTTAGTTTTCCTTGGCTATAAGTAAACTGGTCTGTTACGAAACAGGGTTTTTTTTAAAGATTTTATTGGGGAATTGGGGGAGGGGAACAGCGTTGGGGAATCTGGGAAGGGGAAGAGACAAGTTGCTGTCCTTTTGTTCTTTAGTTGTTGAGGACATCACTTCACTGGCCCATGTTGGTATTATCATTGTGCTTTTCCCTGGTGAAGCAGTTGCTTGCCGGCCATTGGACTGTGGCTCACAGCAGCTCACGCTGGCTGCCAGCCACTCGGTAGCTCATAGCAGCCCACTGCCACAGGGGCTGCAGCCTACGCTGTCGCCGGCGACGCATGGCAGCCCAGCTTCAGGTCAAGCTGTTGTTCACCATCTTAGCTGTAGAGGGCGCAGTGTCACTGGCCCTCATGAGGGATCCAAACCGGGGCCCTGCTGCTCAGAGCTGGCGTCCCAAGCCAACTCTTAACCAATGCGCCACTCGGCTGGCCCTGAAATAGGATTTTTTGATTTGTGTGATTGTGTGTGTTCCGGATTCGTGGTCTTGTGGAACCGAAGAATGGAGATGTGGACCAGAGAGGTAAAGTTGCAGAAAAGGAGTTTATTAGAAGGAAAAGTACATTTCAAAGAACCAGAAGCAGGCCCGAACAGTAGAGAATGGCTCAAGGGCCATTATTAGAAGAAAAAGTACACTGCAAAGAGGTTGGAGTGGGCCGGGCAAAAGAAGCTCAAAAAGGCACCCACTAGCCAGGCCTTGGGAGTTTTTAATCCCTTCTTTCTCTAGAATGGGCTGTTCCTCTCTGGGCATGGGGCCACTTGATTGACAACTGTGATTGACAACAAACAGGCTATTATCTCTAGACTGCTCATGTTCCTTTCCAGAACTCAGTCTGTTATAATGATACTAATTAATTTCTGGGCATATATATGATATTATAATGATGGTATAATGAGGCCCAGGTGAAATTAAGGTCGTTATGGGCTTTACTGCTCAGGAGTGAGTGACTGATCTAATCCAGTCAGGGATTCTGTACCCATTTGTTTCCCTGTAGGGATAGATAATTACAATGAAAAGGAGAAGTTTTCGGTAGAGGGGGGCAGTTTTTTTGGCCATCACATTCTGTGGGGCGTGCAGGAATGCAGAGACCCAATGCCTGTCTCTAACTGCCTGCCTTGTTTTTCCCTTGAGAGACGTGATCCCCATAAAATCTCTATGGGAAGGTATCTACTTCCTGCTGGGCAGGGGCATAGAGCTGTCCCTGCCTATTTGGGGGATTCACAGAACTCTGATCTCACATGAGAGGAAGGGGTCTTGAGATCCACTTGGAAGACAATGTTGGCTTGTTTGGTTGCAACTGGCAATCTTGCTGGGGTGCCCTCTGCATTCCCAAGGCCCCTAAATGAAGATTTTAATTACTAAATTTCTTAAAGAGCAGAGCTCAAAGTTATTGATGTTGGGTGGCTATGGGTTTGGAAAGAACATTAGCCTTTAATGTTTACAATCAACAAGTATACTTGCCTGGGGAAATGTTACAACCTATTTAGTCTCTGGGATGGGATTATCCAAGAGTTAAGTCTGGAATGGCTTGGGAAATGTTGGGAAGTCACAGGCTTTTAAGTAGTTATCTAAAGCTGGGTGGGTGAGAGATTCTGTGATTCAGTCTAGGCAGCAGTTCTCAACCTGTGGGTCTGACCCCTTTGGGGGTCAAATGACCCTTTCACAGGGGTCGCGTAAGACCATCGGAAAACAAAAAGATATTTACATTACGATTCATAACTAGCAAAATTACAGTTATAGAGTAGAAAGGAAAATAATTTTATGGTCGGGGGTCACCACAACATGAGGAACTGTATTAAGGGCATTAGGAAGGTTGAGAACCGCTGGTCTAGAGGCAATCTTTAGTCTAAGTTTCAGAAACTGATTAGAAGAGTAATCAAAGCCAGGGGCTAAGAAACTAGGAAAGAGGAGACTTAAAATTTCTATAGGGAAACTTAAAAATTGTCCAGTAGGGGGGCTACTTGCTTGACCCACATCAGTTCTATGTGTCTTCTCATTGTGGGACCCAGGCTCAAGGAGCAAACCCCTATCTGGTATATGACAGTATAGGATTGAGAGAAACAGGAGACATGAAATTATAAACTTTTGCTCAATTGTGATAAAGGTCATGTCTTCTCACAACGTGCCATTTGGCCGGCCCAGTTGTTTGACAGGCACATGTCATTCTTTGAGCACACCTTTACTTTCTGGCTCATCCTTTTCTTTCCTAGAGTAAGCTATGAATCAAGGAATATTAGTTCTTTTTTAAAAATGGAAACAATTAACATAAAAAAATTAGCCATTAGCCATTTTAAATTGTAAAATTCTGTGGCATTTACTACATTCACAATGTTGTACAACTATCACCTCTATTGAGTTCCAGGGCATTTTTATCACCCAAAAGGAAACTCTGTGTTCAGTAAGCAGTGATTCCATGGTCCCTTTTTCCCCAGCCCCTGGCAACCAGTCTACTTTCTGTCTCCATGGATTTACCTATTCTGGATATTTGGATATATTCTGGATATAAATGGAATCATACAATATGTGACTTTTTGTTACTGGCTTCTTTCAGTTATATTTTCAAGGTTCATCATGTTATGGCATACATCAGGATTTCACTCCTTTTTATGGCTGAATAAGTTCCATTGTGATGGCTATACCACTATTTGTTTATCCATTCATCTACTGATGCACATTTAGGATATTTCTACCTTTGGGCGATTGTAAATAGTACCCCTGTGAACATTCTGGTACAAATATTTGTTTGAATACCTATTTTTAATTCTTTCTGGCATATTTCTAAGAATGGACTTGCTGGAACATATGGTAACTCTGTAACTTTTGGAAGAATTGCCAAATCGTTTTTCAAAGTGACTGCATCATTTTGCATTCCCATTAGCAGTGTACAAGTGTCTCAATTTTTCCACATCCACACTAACACTTATTTTTCTTTAATTTTTTTCCAAAAGTTATGGCGCCTAGTGGGTGTGAAGTGGTATCCCATTATGGTTTTAATTTGCATTTTCCTAATGACTAATGACATTGAACATTTATTTATTCATGTGCTTGTTGACCATTTTTATATTTTCTTTGGAAAATGTCTATGTAAGTCCTTTTTCCACTTTTTATTGGGTTGTCTTCTTTGTTGTTGAGTTGTAAGAGCTCTTTATATATTCTGATACTATATTCTTATCAGGTATATGATTTGCAAATATTTTCTCCCATTTTGTTGATCATGTTTTCACTCTCTTGATAGTATTCTCTGATGCACAAAATGTTTAAATTTTGATAAAGTCTAATTAATCTAATTTTCTTTTGTTGCTTGTGCTTTTGGTATCAAATCTAAGTAACCATTGCCAAATCCAAGGTCATGAAGATTTTTGCCTATGTTTTATTCTAGAAGTTTTATCTGCTATAATTTAAGACTTTGATCTATTTTGAGTTAATTTTTATATGTGGTGTGAGGTAGGGAGTCCACCTTCAATTCTTTTGCATGTGAATCCAGTTCT